GGTAGTTAAATAACTGTATACATTTGTCAAAATGCATCAAATTTTGGATGAACTTTCTTATATGTAAATCATACCTCAATAAAGCTGATTAAAAATCACATGCCCCTATTTTTCCCTTAGTTCTAACAAAGGCTCCACGGTCTGCTAGGTCAGGCTATTCTAGTACTCAGAAGTTTCTGTATGTAATTAAATGCTGGAAATTTTATTTATGAATGATCATTTAGCCCTTAAATTCATTTTTGTAACCATGGAATTGAATAAAAATTTTCCTAGGGATTTCCCTGGCAGTCCAATGGTTAAGACTCTGAGTTTCCAATGTAGGGGGCATAGGTTTGGTCCCTGATCAGGGAACTAAGATCCCACATGCTGCATGGTATGGCCAAAAATTAAAAAAAAAAATAAATTTTACTAAAACACTCTGATAAAATATATTAGTTAGCCTTGGTGTTAGCTGCGCAGTCGTGTCCAACACTTTGTGACCCAATAAACTATAGCCAGCCAGGCTTCTTTGTCCATGGGGTTCTCCAGGCAAGCATACTGGAGTGGGTTGCCATTCCCTTCTCTAGGGGATCTTCCCAACCCAGGGACCAAACCTGGGTCTCCCACATTGCAGGCAGATTATTTATCATCTGAGCCACCAAGGAAGCCAGGATAAAATGTGTGTAAGCCAATCTAACTTCCAGATGGCCTAAGTTCTCCTGGAAATGGCCTATACATTTCAAAGCCAAATAAAGTATAACATTTCCCTCTAGAGGGTCATGTGAGAGATAAGCATACACAATGGATAAAAATACAGATCTGTAACATACTTGCTGATATGAGGAAAACATCTACAGTCAAAGCATAAATTTAAAGAAGAAAGAGAAATAATAGTCCTGTTTGTTAACATGTCCAGGTTTCAAGAACAGAAATAACATTTTCCATAAAACAGAGGAAGTATATATGTAAGCAGTTTGCTACTTTAGCATTATATTTCTTTTCAAAAGAATCTAGACAATCAATTAACCTTTTACTTATATATTCACTTATACTTATGTAAGTATATGTAGATGTGAATAGGTTCTTAATTAAAAACTTATTTTTAAAAAGGAGAGAATAAAGAAGCACAATAAATATTTGATAAACTGAACTTAAAAAAGGAAGGAAATGACAGGTCTTAGCTCTATAAGGACCTTAGACATGAACTTGCCTGAACTTTCATTTTATTGATATGGAATAGAAGGGAAAAATCTAAGAGGAAGAAAAGAGAATGTGAACTTCTACTCCCATGTAAAATGGTTCAAAGTTAGGTTAATTACCAGGGCATGAGTCACAGGTTTGCTACTACTGCAGAACTGAGCCCTCAGATGGCCTCCTTCAGACACCTTTTCACTAAAAAAAAAAAACAAAACAGTTACCTGTGAGCCAAAAGTCGAGCAATCCCAGAGCACTACCCCACACATACTTTTTTTTTCTCAATATTCTTTTATGGAATAAAGAAGAAGGCAAGCCTAGGCATTTATTAAGCATGTGAAGTTTAAATACTTCTCCTAGACAGAAACAATAGCCTACTGCCATTAACATTGACTCCCAGTTCCTAAGAATTGAAAGGCTCTATGATCAGAATTTAATCAGAGGGTTTTATGTGAAAGAATAAAGATCTGAAGCAATGCAAGTCTCAGATAACATTTAAGTCCAATGTATGTATTTTGAGACTTTCAACTGAAGAGAGTAACAATCCTTTTTCAATTCCTGTAAACTGCTACACCTACCCTTCTTTAAAGAACCCTTAATGTCCTCATGTTGCTCAGTAGAAATGGCAGAGGCCAGAAATCTATTCATTGTATCATTAAAAGTAAAAGAAAAGGGCTTCCCTGGTGGCTCAGTGGTAAAGAATCTGGCTACTACTGCAGGAAACACAGGTTCAATCCCTGATCCTGGAAGATCCCATATGTTGCGGAACAACTAAGACCATTTACCATGACTATTGAACCTGTGCTCTAGAGTCCACAAGTCACAACTACTGAGCCCAGTGTGTGCTGCAACTACTGAAGCCTGAGTTCCCTAGGGTTAAGAGAAGCCACCTCAACGAGAAGCCTGTGCACCGCAACTAGAGAGGAGCCCCTGCTTGCCGCAAACAGAGAAAAGCCCTCAAAGCAATGAAGACCCAGCACAGACAAAATAAATAAACAAAACTATAAAAGTAAAAGAAAAAAAGTTTACCTTCTGATTTTACCACCCTTACCCTTGCCTTGGACTCTTCCAGGGCCATAATTTACTCTGAGATAATGTGCTTATTCCACAAGTGATTAAATTTGAGTAGCTTAGATCCCCTCTAAATCATACCTAAGACACAAAGAAGAAGGTATAGAAGAATCTGGATGTACTAGTTAGTAATTGCTATTCTAGACCCCTCCCCTCAAAAAATCAAAACATAAGGCACAAATTAAAACTTGTAAGGAAATGAAATTCTAAATACAAAGCAAATGTCAGTAACTTTCAAATGATCGACTTGTTTGTTCTTCATCTTTCTATTTCTCTACTCCTTTCTGGGAAGGGCCCTTTGTCACTGTGAATGGCCCCTGCCTAGGATAAAAATGAGCCAGACAAATCACAACTCCAGGTCACTTCCTAGAATGAGGAGGTATAGCAAAGACATAAATGCAGGATGAAAGAAAGAAGCTTCTTGTGGTATCACAGGATATGCTGAAACATGGTGTCAAGTTTACATGAAGTTTTGATAAGAAAGTTCACATTTGCTATCATCCCCTTAAGCCATATCTTTTATATTTCCAAAGGATATTATTTTACTGTCTTTTGCCATCAGGAGTACTTCACTGTGAAAGCTCTAGAAGTCTTGGTGCAGGGGAAAATAAAAGCCCATCAGCCCTGAATCTGGGGTCACAGCACGTGGGCTCGTCCCAGTCTACTCTTTGCCTACTAACCACGTGACCTTGGCCAGCTCACTGAGCTCTCACTTTCCTGACTGAGATCATACCACTTATGATTTTATATATCTCTTAAACTATAAGCTTCTATTCAAATGCAAGGTGTAAGTAATATCTTATGATCTAAGCAGTTTAATCTAATGCAAACTACATAGAAGCCTTGAAAAAATAATAATTTCTACTTCAAAAAGCATGATCTTGCTCTCATGTTAAATTTTCCTTCCTTCTTTTGCATTAAAAGAGATATGAAAAGATATGAAAAAAAGAGATAAGAGATCACTGGAGCAACACAGAGTTTTTTCTAGTGTCATGGGATGGAAAAAACTAAGGCTGAGTTATTGGGAGTTAAAGTTATAAGAAGGTAGGAAAGACTATACTTAACCCCTTGAGAAGAAGTAAGAATGGCCCTAAGGATTAAAAGAAGATTTGATTCCTTTCTGATCATTGTTGGAAAGGCCAAGACCAGGACACAGCAAGTTGGTCTTCTATAGCTATGCTGCTCTGGCAAGCAAAAACACTTTTCTAGTTCACTGTCTGATCAAACGCTGAAAATGGAGCTGTCCACCCCAAAGTAGGAAATCTGCAAGTGTACAACCTGGATGTCAAATTCAAAGATCATCAGACACTACTCAAGAAAAGCAAGTATTTCAGGTCAGCAGAGTAATTTGCTAATTTACAAGTGCAGTAGCACAATTCTAATTTAGGCATTCTTTGACAAATCTAAACATGTGAGTAAAAGCAGAATTAACTGTCAAAAAGGAAAAACACTGTTAAACATTCTCAGCTAGAGTTCAGTGATATCAAGCAGCTTTCTTCTCCTCCCCCTATCAATAGCACATTGCTGGCCAAAGTAAAGTTGTTATTTGTACAGAAACCTCTTGGACAATCCATGAAACAGAGTTGGTCAAACCCTCAAGATGAGAACCCTGCAAATGGTTATAAACGTGCGATCTGCATCACAGTTAGTCTTGGACAAAATGATCTTTATCAGATTTTGTCTTGAAAGAAAGTGAAAGTGAAGTGAAACTGCAAATCACTCAGTTGAATCCGACTCTTTGCGACCCCATGGACTATGCAGTCCATGAAATTCTCCAGGCCAGAATACTGGAATGGGTAGCCTTTCCCTTCTCCAGGGGATCTTCCTAACCCAGAGATCGAACCTAGGTCTCCTGCATTGCAGATGGATTTTTTACCAGCTGAGCCAGAAGGGAAGCCCAAGAATACTGGAGTGGGTAGCCTATTTCTTCTCCAGCAAATTTTCCTGACCCAGGAATTGAACCAGGGTCTACTGCATTGCAGGCAGATTCTTTACCAACTGAGCTATTGGGGATTTTGTCTTAAACTCTTGACATCTGAATATTCTTTTTGCACCAAAAAAAATTAATGGGCTAATAGCAGTTTTTTGAAATAGAGACAACTAACAAAATTATAGATGAACATTTATCTTCAGTTACCATGACGCTAGTACAGTTTTAATAAAAAGGTTGGAAGTAATATCTATTTAAAGTAAATTGAGAAAAAGAAAAGTTCACTTTTTCTGAGAAAGCAAATTGATATTTTTTCTTTGATTTCCTTATCCTTTGGAATGAAGGCTTGCTATTAAAATTTTCAATAAACCTTTAAACTATGCTATAAAACAATATTGTTTGGTCTTTAATGAGCCATTTCTGCTATTTTATAGGCATTCTAAAATGATAATGCATCCACTAGTTATACTCTCCTAATACTGCCGACAAAGGACACGGGCGTGCATGTCTATTGTCAGACCACATGGTACATAGAAGATGAGCCAAGTTCTTTACCATCATTGACTCTAATAAGCTCTGTGATCCTCAACCTTTCTCAACTTCAATTTCCTTCACTGTAAAACTCATGTACTTGTTGAGATAGAATTTCTGATTCTTATTTGTTCAGTTTCTAGACAACATTTAGTGTGCATCTGATTTCATGAGCGCCCATTAGTGGTGACCTCTGAGCAACATATTAAGATTCTTTAAGGATCTTACCAAAATTCTTTACTCTAGAGGTGGGGCAAAGGGGAATGGAGAGGAAAGACACACAAACATTACTTACTTTTGAAAAAAATGTCTGATAATTATCAAGACAAAAGCATATGGAATAGTCATATATAAATGAGAGGGCTTCACAAAGATGAGTCCATCGTGATCTTCAAGATCTGACCATTTTATTGTTGGAGGAAGCCAGAATCTTTCCAACCAAAACCATTCTTTAAATGTCTGAAACATTCTAAAAAGACGAAAAAGAATATATTAGACTTATAAAACAAATACTTAAAACTGAGACAACACTGACACCTTTACTCAAAATACCTAAACTAGAGAGTTCTCAACAGAGGGTGAGAACAAAGTACTATTATTTAATGGACGTCATGGCTCTTCATTGTATTAAACAGGTATCACACTGCAGAAACTCTCAGAACAGTTTTGGTCATGGCATGGCAAACTGAAGTTCAACACACCACTGTTCATACTCTTGGCACAACATACATTAATATTATGGGACTATACCTTCCGCATATATTTCTATTGTATGAAAATTAATTTAACAATAATCTCTACAACTTCAATATGCCAAAGGCCAACCTCATAAAATCTCCAAGTAGGTATCCTAAGAATTTCTCTAGGAGACAAAGGAAAAGTATATTTACCTTTGCATTACAATGAAGAATTCAAATTACTCCATGTCAACAAACATTTAGAGATCCCATTATTTGTCAAGCCCTGTGCTAGGCACTGAGAATGCAAAGATTAAAAATCCAGTGCTCTTCCCCTAAGGACCTTATATTCTGTGGGCAAGGCAGGCCTGAATGACTGACACACTTTTTTAGGTACAATAAAACATGTTTGTAGTGAGTGCTGTGGGCTTCCCTGGTGGCTCAGATGGTAAAGAGTCTGCCTGCAATGCAAGAGACCTGGGTTCAACCCCTGGGTTGGGAAGAGCCCCTGGAGGAGGGCATGGCAAGGCATTCCAGTATTCTTGCTTGGAGAATCCCCATGGACACAGGAGCCTGGCGGGCGACAGTCCACAGGGTCACAAAGAGTCGGACATGACTGAGTGACTAAGACATACACACAGCGAGTGCTGTGGAACACGACGATCAGCACTGAGCCCAGCCAAGACATGCCAGGGGAAGACCACTGGGACAGATGACCCTTGGGATGTCTTGCACAATGAAGTGAAGTGAAGTGAAGTTGCTCAGTCGTGTCTGACTCTTTGCAAACCCGTGGAGTGTAGTCTACCAGGATCCTCTGTCCATGGGATTCTCCAGGCAAGAATACTAGAGTGGGTTACTATTTCCTTCTCCAGGGGATCTTCCTGACCCAGGGATCAAACCCGGGTCTCCCACATTGCAGGCAGACACTTTACCCTCTGAGCCCCCAGGGAAGCCTTGGACAATAAATGGAAATAAACCACAGAAAGGGAGGAAAATGGGAAAGAGGAAATAGAAGTTCTAAGGAAAGAAAATACACTGATCAAGTAACTAGAAACATAGAACATACAGATGCTCCAGTCTCATCATTTGTGCTATGACAATTTTAATCCTGACATTTTGATCTTGAGGATGTTTTGACCTCATCATTCAATAGTTAATCAGAGAAAGAAATAAAAATGTCCTCAGATTCACTACAGGGTAGTCAAAATAACTCTATTAAAATCTCTTGACTGTTAAATAACCCAGTGCCTATGGAACACCACCAGCAGTGTGGTTCAGCCACAATGCAAGAATCCAAGGTGTGCAATGCTTGGTCACACACTGGTGCCCAAAGCCTCAGTTTGTTGTCCTGCCATAATTACTAACAGTGCCCGTTCCTTTCAGGAGTGCCCCAGTTTGGGTAATTGACCATACGGTGACTGTCATCAAAAGCCTGGTGAGACAGTTCAAACTTGGTCACAGAGGGTCCGCAATCCATGCTAAGGAGCTTGGGCTTTAGCTAATGGAACCAATGAAGAGGATTATGCAGAAGAATAAAATGATCAGATATTTTAGGAAGGCTGCTTGGGCATCTAGGTTCTCTGTGAGCCCATGTGGTGTCTTTGTGCCGACTAGAGGATGGTGTCCCCTCTGGGCAGACTCAGCCCTTGGACGCAGCACATGAGAGCTGGTTTTCAGCCCCCGGAACCCCCTCCTCCCACCCCCAGCCAGGCACACACATGGCTGCTCTCTGGCAGTGTTACGATGCACATTTCAGGACACTGGAAGACTGGAGAGCAATTTCGAGTTTGAGATAGTAGATACAGTTAGAAATGGGAAGCTACAAAGAGCAGTGGCATCAGGGAGCTGAACATGCTGATAACAATGCTGTTCACAAGATTACACATGAGATCCAAAGTGGGCAGAGAATAAAGACAGGCCAAGAAAGAAGTGAGAATGAGGGGAAAAACAGAAAATTCAAGCAGCTGGAGGTCAAAGAACAAGTCTGGTGGGAAGGAGACTAAGCACCCGAAAGAGCGTGAAGACTGTCAGAGGTGAGGTTGAGAGAGGAGTACTGACGTTACAGATTTCTGACTTCAGATGAAGAGGAATTCCAGAGTGTGGACTCCAATATCCTTCAGAAAAATCCATACCAAAACCAAACAACTAACCCTGGTGAGATACTACTCCCTATTTTATTTCATTTCTCATCCACTGCTCAGAGACATGCACATTCAAAGTAGCAAGAACCTAGTCACACCCACACCGTCAAAGCTTGTGTGGAAAAAGAGAAGGGCTGCTTTCTTTTTCATGTATTAGTCATTTTACTATAACTTCTACCCTGGAGGAGGATAAGCACCACTAATACAGTCATAAAATTGTGCAAATATGGTGGAATAAAGATCATCAAGGAGATTTATTGAATACTTTCCATCAGTTCAGAGGGCTACAGAAAGGAAAGGGGTGATCCTGGACTTTAGGGAGCTTACAATTGAGTGAGGACTGACCTGGATTGGGCTCAGGAAGAGACAGTGTGAACTGACGAAAGAGTTGTTAGGAGGAAAGAATTAACACACTTCCACAAGCGAACTGAGGATTCAGGGAACTGAATGCACTGGTTGCCTGGGCCATCTGACATACCTGACCAAAGATGGAATCAAGAGAGGGAATCTATGATGAAGTGCACAGTCAGATACAGCTCAGAACAAGAGCAGGCATAAGTCTTTGAGTCAGACTACAACTAAAATTCAAACTTCCTACAGATCTTAGAAATGAAACCAGGCAACAGGAGTCTCTTTCATCAAAGACAAACCTTGTTCCAGGCCTGTGTCCTTCATTGCATCAGAATGAGCTACTCCTGCAAAGGCAAACCTATTTCTTCCTAAAAGTTTGCCTCAGCATGTTCATTACATTATTGGCTCCAAATTTAATAAACTATGACTCAGGAAACAAACAGCAGTGGCAGTGAGTTTGTTTTGGTATTATTATAATAATCTTTATACAGAATAGTTTGCCACCTCCTAAAATGCATCTCCAGGCAGTACAGATTATTTTATCTAGTGTGAAACATAACTAAAAAATAGCTTTCAATGGTTATATAGGAGTTGCCATGCTAAATAATATGCGAGCAACAAAATGAGACTTGTCAAAAGCCTAGTAACTTTAATACCCAACAACCAAAAAACATATAAAGAAAGAGAGAAAGAACTCAGAGTTGCAAGTGATCCCCTGGAAAATGTAGCTCAAACTGAGAAAAAATTACATTATTTACTACTTCTTCATGTACTGCCACGAAATATCAATTATTGCTGCTTCAAATGAGTTAAGAATCTTTTCTTCACACAATACACAAAAATTAACTCAAAACGGAAGCACAGACCTAAATATAAGGGCTAAAATAATAACATTCTTATAAGGTTGTGTAGGAGTAAATCTTCATGACCTTGGGTTAAGCAAAGCTTTCTTGCTTATGACACCCAAAGCACAAAAATAAAAAACAGATAAATTTGGCCTCATTGAAATTTTGGTTTTCAAACAAACCTTTTGGTTCTCAGTGGATACCATCAAAAAAGTTAAAAGAAAATCCGCAGAGTGGGAGGAAATATTTGAAAATCATAGATCTAATAAGGGACTTGTATTTAGAATATGGCAGAAAGTAAAGAGGAACTAAAGAGACTCTTTATGAGGGTGAAAGAAGAGAGTGAAAAAGCGGGTTTGAAATGCAACATGAAAAAAACTAAGATCATGACATCCAGTTCCATCACTTCATGGCAAATAGATGGGGAAAAAGTGGAAGCAATGACAGATTTTATTTTCTTGGGCTCCAAAATCACTGCAGATGGTGACTGCAGCCATGAAATTAAAAGACGCTTGCTTCTTGGAAGAAAAGCTATGACAAACCTACACAGTGTATTAAAAATCAGAGATATTACTTTGCCAACAAAGGTCCATCTAGTCAAAGCTATTCAAAGCTATGGTTTTTCCAATAGTCATACATGGATGTGAAAATTGGACCATAAAGAAGGCTGAGCACCAAAGAACTGATGCTTTTGAACTGTGATGCTGCAGAAGACTCTTGACGGTCCCTTGGACAGCAAGGAGATCAAACCAGTCAATCCTCAAGGAAAGCAGACCTGAATATTCACTGGAAGGACTAATGCTAAAGCTGAAGCTCCAATACTTTGGCCACCTGATGCAAAGAGCTAACTCATTGGAAAAGACCCTGATGCTGGGAAAGACTGAGGGCAAGAAGAGAAGGGAGCGACAGACAAAAAGATAGTTGGATGGCATCACGACTCAATGGACGTGAGTTTGAGCAAAGTCCAGGAGATAGTGAAGGACAGGGAAGCCTGGTGTGCTGCAGGGATTGCAAAGAATCGGACATGACTTAAGAGAATGAACAGCAACAATAATGCTACAACATGGATCCTCTTGAAAACATGCTCAATAAAAGGAACCAGGCACAAAAGGCATATATTGTATGATTCTATTCATGTGAAATGTTCAGAACAGGCAAATGTATGGAAACAGGTTAGTAGTTTCTTAGGGAGTACAAACAGGTGTGGGGGGAAATAGGGAGTGACTGCTAATGAGTACAGAGTGTCTTTGGGGTGATGAAACTGTTCACAAGTTGGATGTGGTGTTGATTGCATAACTCTGTGAATATACTAAAAAACATTAAATTTCACACTTTAAATGAGTGAATTGTATGGTATGTGAGCTACATCTAAAGGAAAAAAATGTTAAAAACTCCCCTTCTAAGCTTCATCCCCTTTAAACCTTTACGTCTTTTAATCCATGGCTCAGCCTGAAC